GGTAACTGAGCAATGAATGTTTGGTCCTGATTCATTGATCTTAAGCAGCTGGATCAACGCTGGAACGAGGAGGGTGGTCAACCAGCTATTAAAAGTAATACAAGCAATAAGGAGCCCCATTTTTGTGGTTCTAGCTGCGAAGTTTGAAACAATCACTGTTTCTGGCTGTTCTGCTTCGTCTTCTGATCCTTCTATTTGTGGGCCTCTTGTATCTTTTACACAGAAGTGAACCATGATGATCGGAAGAATGAGTACGGGCAATGTCGAGAAAAGTAGACACTTCCTCCATCCAATCCAATCAAGTAGTAGGAACCCCAAAACTGATGACCACATTGACCAGGCAATAAAGATTATGTGTGTTATAAATAAAATCCTGTCTAGAATCTCTTTATTGTAAGCTATGTCAGCGGCCCAAACATAAAGACTGTTGTATCTGATTCCACAACAAAAGCCAAGGAGGGCTCGAGCAAGAAGAAGAGCTGTATAGTTTGCAATTATGCCAAGCATAACTAAACTGCATACACTCAGATATAGCGAGATTAAAACCGTCTTCCGTTTTCCAAACCTGAGCACAATATCATTAAATAAATTTTTCGAATTTCTGTATTACTACTAGCAAATGTTTCACTGCAGCGTGAGGGTTACAGTCAAAATCGTATAGAAAAATACTTTGACCCAACCCTTTTGCCAATGGTCCTGCAATCATAACTGAAACTGCTAAGGAGAAGAACAGAATGTAATCCAATAATCCTTCTTTCCAATGAGACAGTCCAATGTCACATGAAACTTGTTGAGTTAACATTCCTGATACGTGAGGAAATATGGTTATCAGGCTTCCTCGTGTGTTTTACAGAGTAGGAGTGGGGTTTTCAATACAAAGAAGGCTATCTTGTAAAATGCAATGTACAGAAAGAAATTAAATTTTTCACTTCAAAAATAAATCGGGACAGAAGTAGATACAACTTTGAAAGTTACACCAACCAGGCAAATCCATCTCTGTTCCATCTGCAAACTCGCATAGAATACAACATATCAACAGCATCTTATCATTCCTCGTCCAAGTTGTTTGTTGCTGGTCGTCTTTATCAACCAGGACGTCATTCTCACCGTTTTTCATTATTATTTGGAAGCTTCTTCTGGTTTGAGTGTGTACTATCATAACATTGAAACGATCCATAAAACAAACAATATTGCAATATATGTGCCGTCAACTTCAAGATCATCCGTAGAGTTATCTACGAGATGATAGTCCACAAATCAGCTAAAACATTACAACTATTGTAAATCGTAAAACCAATCGTTTTGGGCGTCTCACGTGACACACATAGCACACACGATACCAGGTTCGTGGAGGGCGGAGAGGGTGTTGTTATGTTCCATGTTATGTTTATTTAAGGGTACAATGAAATACAATTAGATATGATATAGAAATATCTCTCTCCAAACTCCATAGTTAAGTTGCCACTCCAGTTAGGACAATATAATTATTAAATAACATCAAAAACATTATCAAAAAAAAAGCAAACTAGCACTGAGGGGTTGATCATCAAGAAGATATATATATTTTAAAGTCACTATTGTGACGTATATCGGTCTATGGAAGACTATTGTTCTTAAAATTGGTTTTGTGTTTCTGTTGGTATTTCAGGAATTTGTCATATCATTGTTTGTGCATTAGCTCCTATGAAGAACGTTTTGAGCAGGTATGTTTGTGTAAGACTGCTGTCCTCAAGTCTCCTCTGATCTGCAACTATTTAACAAGTGTCAGTTGAAACAATAAAATATGTTGCCAATAAATCTACAGAGTATCGATTGAGATTCACAAACAAAGGGAAAAAACTGTAAATTTTGCAGCTTTGCCATCAAAGTCATAGTGCAGATCCGAAGTGCGAAGGGTGCAGCTCTGTGGATCGAGCGAGGGACTGCTAAATAATCTGGGAGGACCTCTGAATTATCATGTGAACTCTACCCTGGCTCTTTAAAACCATTTCTAAGTCAACTGAAATCTTTAATTAATCGTCACTGTTTTGTACCCCTGTTTGAAGTGATCTGATGTTGGAGCCGGTTAATGGTCCGGTTCAATTAGTGTGATGCCAAGTTCCAATCACATACCACAAACTGTTACTCAAGGGTTGCTTTAACCAGTAGTATGTTGTAACCGCAGGACACAGTGTAACCTATTGTATTATACACTATGTGTTTTGCTTACCCCCGACGCCACTTTCAGTCTCTGTTATACGGTGTAAATATTGATTAAGATATAAAAACTAGAAGGATTTATTCATTGAATTTAAGTACTTAACTAAGACCGGTGACCAAACTTTTGAGGGGGTCCTGGACCCCAACCACCAAACGGTGCCCGCGGGGCAGCCACACCCATATTTGGTCCAAATTAGGCCCAATTAAGCCAAATACCCTGCTTATATTATAATATGCTATTGTATAAAAAATGGATTTACAGATCATTCGCTGGTATAAAAAAACGTCAAAAGAAATGAAAAAAATTCGGATTTTTGATGGTTCTGAATGCCTTCTAATTATGAGGACTACCAGATCCTGGTGGAACCTAAGCAATCCATGATATCACGACAGGCCCTAAAAGACAATATAATTATTAAATAACATCAAAAACATTATCAAGAAGAGCAAACTAGCACTGAGGGGTTGATCATCAAGAAGATATATTAAATATTCATTGAACTTTGAGGATATTGGTAAATATTAGTGACCCTACTGAATGGCACGATAATGTAAAATGTGTCACACTATGAAACTATATAAACCCTCTATGCATAGGATAATCGTTTCATCATCTAGATAAACTTTGTCGCATAACGATATCTTTATCCGACGATAAGATATCGCTTAAATGCGGCCGGCAGTAAGTTGTAAACTTTGTCACACTATAAAAACGTGACAGAGTTTATATGGACCCCTTGTTGCAGTGTTTGACCAAATTTTCGAATTTCCAATTAATAGGATAGTTGCATATGACTATTATCTACATATTTAGCGACTTTTTTCGTTAAATGGTAGCACCATGTAAATTCCGTCACACATTTAAGAAATTTATATGAGGGATGTTTATGACATCCTGACAAGAAATGCCGAATAGTCTAGCATTATTTTGTGAGCTGAATGTGTTTGGAATTGTTCACATATTTCATTGTTATAGGCAAATACAAATACAGAAGGCAGAAATAGGTAAACTTTGTCACATAAATTTGTATGATATCTCAACATGTGTGAAATTGAGTAAATATTAGTATACCACTGAGTGGAGTTGGGTTAGAAACATATAATGAGAGATACGATGATTTAACTTGTAGAAGCTTTCAATAAACATGTGTTGGTTAGTATACCAACTTAAACACCCTATATTACGTACTATGGATCAATTAACAATATTTCAACCACACACCGGTCATATAAATTACTATATGGCAGTGGTATGTTAACATTGGCAAAATTTCAACACCTGAACATGGTAAAAATTTGTAAATTTCGTCACAAAAAAAATATGATAACTTTATTTGCTATTTGTTGGCAAAATGACTACTGACTAGTTTATCGACATAGGTATGGTGATAAAGTAACATTATATCCTAATCGAGACCTACATAGGTGGCAAGAAAAGTAAATTTCGTCCCATTTCAGTAACTTAGTAAAATTAAACTCAGCATTGTTAAACTTGAGTTCTAATTTGCTGAACAATAACCAACCAATAATTCCTGTAAGAACATTGAATTTTAACCGAGGTATGGTTCTTCAAAATAGGGTCAACAAATGTAAATTTCGTCACATCCGCGTACGTCATTGTAAAATGTAGATACAATTTCTTTCACGTGAACAGTCCTAATTACAGTCTGAAATGATTAATACAGAGGAAATATAAAAACCCTGTCCTTTTTATAATGTACGTAATATGTTAATCACAGACTAGACTATTTTATTCTATAATCATTGTTTCCTAATTTAACCTATTTACGATGTCGTATATCATTTTGTGACGATGTTTACGTCAACTGCCCTATATTGAATCAACTGTATCCATGTATCGTCGTTATATAGAGTTTCCCCGCAAAATTTAACCTATTTACGATGTCGTATCATTTTGTGACGATGTTTACATCAACTGCCCTATACTTGAATCAACTGTATCCGTGTATCGTCCTTATATAGAGTTTTCCCGCCTTCCAAACCAAAATTAGATATAAATGATTTCGGAAATTCACCCAGAATTTCAAATTCCATATAATGTGACAGAATTTACATCATTTCCCAATAACCAAGTGCATGTATTTGCTAACGTTTCAAAACAACATATATTTTAGGGCTATGATTGGCAGAAGAACCATCAAATAATGAGTTGAAAGGGTTTTGAGGACACCTCACAGTAAAAAAGGGGTCTCTTATTCTGAGTGTGACAAAGTTTACGAAGTATTGCCTTAAAGCCGTTCGATCACTGCCCTTTAGGCCTACGTTGTATCATAATTGTTAGATTAACCTAATCTACTATATTTTAGACCAAAAAATGCTAATTGGGCAGCTATGGTAAACAATGTCACAAAAATGTGACATTTTTTCCTTTTCACCCTTTTGAAAAAAGGCAATAGTATATTCTGAGTAATATCAATAACTGTAAATTGAAATAACTTCTTTAACAAGTAACAAAAAACAGAAATTTCGGTTGAAAATTTGTTGAACTCTGAAGAAAAACTTGAAAGGTCGGCCACCGGTAAATTCATGACCGGGATAATTTGGCGGGTTTTGAGAAAGTCCGCCATATTTTTCCCGGTCATTAATTTTCCCAGTCTTAAATTAACCCGCTATAATATTCCCGAGTAAGGTACTTCAAGTAAGATGCTTTTTTCCATATCAATTGATTGTTGCTTCTAATTAAGGACTTACATTTCTTATTTTGGTTTTCAAATAGGTCATATAGTTATATATTTAAATTATGATTGCTCTAAATTTTAAACTGAGTCATAATTAAGTACCTGAAAAGCTAGTGGTCCATTTTAGCTCGCTTGGAATCGCCATTATCCTCCGCAAATGACAACCTGATCGTGCTTCCAGCGATAGTTGCACCGTCCAATAGCATCTTCGCTGCATTGGCAGACTCTTTCATCGCGTATCTTATGTATCCGTAAGCTGTTCCCTGAAATTATTTATTAGTCAGTTTGAGGTATTGGTTATATGTACAGTTTATTTCCTGAGAATTTCGTCGTTTATTCATGCCTAGAGAAAACCCATCAACTCTAATTGAAAATTGAATAGTGAATCCGGTAAGAATGTTGAAAGGGATCGAACGGAGCTTCCACTTGCACTCAAGCTTTGATTTTATGAATTAACTAGAAAGCCCGTGGTCACAGAGCTGAGAGTAAGCTAATAGTATTCTTTGGTAGTCAGTTTTTATAGCATCAACAAATATCCATCACAACCGACGCGAAGATACAGCCAATTAAAATATAGCTCGCACTGAACACCACGTAATAACAAAAAAATGATACAAATACCTCTCTCAAATCGTTGCACGTGCAAGTGCACTTCTAACACCGTTACCATGGTTATTATGAAACTACCTATTTCTTATATATTTGCACGTGGGCGGTCGTACAGTGTACAAAGAGAATTCTCTGATTCCCTTAGCTTTGTACAATGTACGACCGCCCACGTGCAATATAGACTAGAAATATAGACTAGAAAACCCTTGGTCACAGAGAGGAAGCTAATAGTATTTTTTGTTAGTTAGTTTAAATCGCGTCACAACATATCCTACACAACCGAAGATACATCCGATTAAAATGTTGCTCGCACTAAACAGTAAACACAACGTAAACAACAAAACCGATAAAAATGCCGTTTTAAAAATCTTTGCACGTGCGTGTAACAACCCTCATTACCATGGTTACTTTGCAACATTTTGCTTTATACCTAATTTGCACGTGGGCAGTCGTACAAACATTGTACAGTGTACAAACAAAGGGAATTCTCTGAATTATAATATAGATATTAATCCTGGCCCATCGCCCAGCTACGCCGAATCGAGGAGTTCCCGTAGTCAGTACCTTGCATGGCTGAGGTGAGGTACGGTCGCGGTTCATCGGTACATTCTACACGCTGACAAAGAATACGCGCGTGCTTAGCGTCATAATGATACGGAAAGTTGCAAAATTGAAGACCGTATTTATCAAAAAGTGTGGAGCAGTGCCAAGTAACTTGTGCGATGCGAAACTATGTTTTCAAAGAGTCTTACCCACCATGTGACTTCGATGCCGTTCTAGCAGAAACTGATTATTACTGTGATAGAATACTGCCTACATTTATTCTTGACCTTTACACCTACCGCAGAGTAACCGTCAACAATCAATGCAAGATCTCTGTGATCATGTAGGTGCATGTGTAATTAGTAATAGCAGATGATTGGCCCCAAATATATACAGCAGGGTGTCAGAATTATTGGCGTGTTTTGAAATTTTGTGTGTATTTTATGATGAAATCTATATTTTTCGACGGGTCATAACTTTACTTCTGAATATCGAAATTAACAAAATTCAAAAACCGGATTTCAGGGGAAGCAGCCGAATCCTTTGAAGGGCTTCTTGTACGGAGTGTAAGTGATGTTCAGTTAAAAAATCAGCCAAAAAACGTTAAAAACGACTGAAATATCGGTATAACAGTGACTGACTTCTCAAAATTTTCAAAACTTTCGAAAAAGAAAATATTTATTTTTTCGAAAGTGCGGGTCCTCAAAAATAATTTTTAATGTATCAAATCTTATTGTTTTGATGTATACTTTCTTAATATGAAGTTAACAGCATGTTCAGGACATAAAAGCTTTTTGTATATGTCCCCTTAAGTCAAGTAAGTCAGTAAGTCTAACGCTTTAATTATTGTAACGTATCCCAACGTAAGACCAACAAATTTATGTGTAGCTGTCAAAATTTAGATTATTATCATTTTAACAAGGCCCCTGAACATCTAAAAACTTGTCATGTGGAACTTTTGGAAATGGCGGTAAAAGTCTTAAAATCTGGTTAATTTGTACACTATTAGATAAAGATGTGGCATACTTATTTATGCGTTATAATGCAACCAAGTAAGTTAACATATACTTCATATTATGATTCTTTTGTTTATCTCGTTATACGATCAGTAAAAATATCAAGAAAACTTACTCCTCCACCCATTCCTCGTAGTGGTAGATAAGAATATACTTTCCCTTTGTTAAGAACAGTATTCCAAACGCTACAGCCCAAGTGAAGCAGAATATGGACAAAAACGAGGGAAGCTGATTAGAATAATCAAAGTAAACAACCTCCAAAATATGGTAGACAAACAAACTTAAACACAAGCAAATACAGCCGGACACCAGTAACAGAGCGTACACAGTGAAATACTCAACACCACCTTCACCCATGGTATTTCATCTTACTCCGTACAAACGACAACAAGTAGACTATGATCTCTAGAACGGTATTTACTGCGATCTAGCGAGCCCAATTAGGATGACCTCTCTGTTGTAGAGCGGTAGAGTGCTACGACGACACAGTGATTTACGGAGTTAATATTGCGTAATCAGAGCTGGTTATTTCCGTGATGTTGGGAATGAAGTAAGACCTGGACAGAGATAACTACATAACTACATAACTACATACCTTAGATACTGTGTTATGTACTGTTTATACGCAGTGATACATTATATATTGTGTAGAGCTGTAGAGTTGTCTAAACGTATAGATGAGGATAGTAGAGTTAACTTGTTAAGTGGTGACTATTTAGAGGGTTACTTGTATTGTGACGTAATATCCAGATAATATGTCATATTGTTTACATGTGAGATTACAATGTATTCTGAGTGAAGTAACATGTTCACAATTCAGTAGTGGGGGCCATTTCGGATATCAATTATCTAAGTGTGATCACAACAGACAAATAAACAGGGAACTGACAAAGATATTCTGCTTCTAACGTCAGCAAATTAATGGGTAATCAAGTGGTTTACCTCTCCTATTATATTGTATATACATTTTATAGCATCAACTTTTCAACCCATCTAAACATTCCAAGAAGTGAAAATCTCGACTTACTGGGATGATCTGAATGTCAACAAGTTCGCTGAATCTGCAGAAGATGTCAGACAGGATGTCCTCTGAGATGGGCTGAGGAGCGGCAACAAAGAAGAGTTTAGCACGGCAGTGAGTTGTAGATGAGATAGGCTGGTGGGGCGGTAGTGCTACATCTGTGTAAGGACAAGCTGAAGGAAATTAACACTAGTTATTTGAAAGCTATTTGAAAGCAACAACCTGTCACTATCAATTAAATGTATAGCAAGAACCAGGGCAAACACGCGGAACTGATCAGAGAGAGGGCTGTAGATTCATATATGATACAAAGAAAACTCCATTTATGGACGTGAGGAGAGTTAGGACTCCTACAACTACATTAAATCAATTCCTTCTGTAACGTCCTCAATATATGTAATAGATTTGTAGTGTTGTAATTAGTTTTTAAAAACGATTGTGTGATTATATCTCTATGTGTCTACATAACAATAGAAGTGGGCTTTTTTAAACTATCTGAGATACCATCAAAGATATCAGAAAAGCAGACACCTTTCTATGTTTGCAAGTTAAAATACGAGGGAAAAGTTTCTAAATATCACGTGATAATAGCCCTGATATCACTGCTTACTCACTGCTAGCGGGAGCGGCGGTCTGGAAGCCTCCCGAGTAATCGTACACTCCCTGTTGTTGTGGCTGCTGTTGTTGGGGCTGTTGTACCTGCTGCATCCCATCGTAGATTCCTGACGTACCGTAGTTCACACTGTACCCTTGATTGTAGCCCTGTTCCTGCAGAGGTTGGAATGTTCATTATTCGTTTTCCACTTTACATTTCAAAGCTACTCCTGAAGTGAAGCAATAATATTCTTTACTGCAATTTGTCTTAGAAAATAGAATCCCGAGCATATTAGTCAGACTGCGGAGGACTACCTCAGACATAAGTTGATAAGAACAAAACAAATACTGAAACTAACCACAGGTTGTGCCGTTGGTTGATGGAAAGCAGGCTGCATCCTTGGTTCTTGCTTGTAACCAACACCAAGTCTGAATCCAGGAGGATACTCAATGTTGTTGAGCTTGTTGCGAGCGTAACTTGCAGAACTTATGCTCATGTAGGTTGCAAATGCCATTCCTTTGCTTTGACCGTGCAAGGACGTGGCAAGATCCAAATTTTTTAAACCGGGAACAATGTCGAATAGCCTGTAGATGGGATAAATTGTTAGTTTCAATATGTCGTTGGCCAAAGCAGGGTACAATACACAGTTTATAAAAAACTGAAAATATGTTCGTCAGCCACAGTAAAATATCTTCAAAAAATGTAAGCTCCTAAATTAAATGTAAGTCTTATCACAGTCTTCAGTTACTTTTGCTCCTCCAAACTAATTTCCTTTTCATTGTATATACTTTTGTCCGATTTACTGGATAGTGGATAGCAGGATAGCAGTCATTCAAGCAGTTATATATAACTGCTTGATAAGGCTTTGTCATATATAATATTATACTTATGAATCATTTTCGCAGGTGCAATCCCAGTCATCCAGTGATGTCAAATAAGCGACCAAAGGAGCAACAGTAGAACTTGAAACAATTCAAAATGTAGTATTGATACTATTTTAAAAACAGCTCAAACAAATAAATTTAAGTTGTAGCGATTAAGAAAATGTAAGGCTAAATCATAACGTTCACTTCAAAAAATGAAACTTTTCAACCGCTGAACACTAAATGAATATCAAATATTTAAACAATATTATCATAATATTTTAACTGTCATATTAAAACATCAATCTGTCAGGTTAGTTACAGGACAGACTAAAATATATAATAAGTGGTATGTTGAATCACATGGTGATGTTTCTCTCAAAACCATGGTGATATGTAGATCTCGACACCATGGTGATATATATCTTGTAACCATGGTGATATGTATCTTGTAACCATGGTGATGTATCTTGTTACCTAGTAAGTTGTTGTTCTGTAAGGCTGGTATGACAGGTAATTGTCAGTCTGGTAGTGGCTCCAGGTTCAGTCATGTCACGGTAACCTGTAGATACATGAAAACTTTTTATAAAGGAGCAGCGTAGTGATACGTGGTAAACTTTTAATTGGTATCAAGTTTCTGTTCGGTTGTTTCTTTGTTTCAAAGAGTTAGTTAATAAAATCAGTACTTTGTTTTTTTGTTTGAGATAATATATTTAAACCGTAAAATGTCACAAATAAAACAGTTAGTTGGTTAGTCTTGGTACTTTGGTAACATGTTTGTGGGGGCAATTAACCGTGCATATTATAATAAATATGATATGCACTTATGCTATGCACAATTAAAACTATTATTTTCTAAATTAGCTCAATTTTTTTTCGATATAAAACTAAGGCCAATTCATCAGATCTACTTTTATTAATTAATAGACAATTGAATGTTCGTGTAAACATCTCATGTCTTCAGTATAATATCAGTAATTCTTGTTTCCAGTGTTATATTGTATACACAATGAAGTAACTAAACGACAGAACATAGTCGAGTTATTGCAAGCCTGCTCACTAATATAATCATAGAAAGGGGCCAGGTTATATCATTGAGTATGGTCTAAATCAAGAGCCAACAGAAACAAATTAAGCTACACACCTGTAGGAACAGGACACATAACTCTAGCATAACAAGGTCCACTAGAGTTGTCTGCCTGGGTGTTAGTCATCATGTTTTTAGGAACTCTCGGCTCTGCTATGACTGCTTTGTAGGTTTTATCACAGTTTTCCAGGGCGTTGAAAGCTTCTGAGGGTTTGCAGAACCTCACATATGCGCATCCCTGAGGAGGAACATTTAGTTGAGATAACAACGGAACAATGCATACAACTAATTCAGGATTGCAATAAAGGACTGACAGTCAGGATTGAAAGCCAAAATTATACTTTCAATTAACCCCAGTAACCTTATTCTCCATCGTGGTTTTGTCTTTGAGAATCTGAACGTGATCAACTTTTCCAAACTGAGAGAACTCGAGAGTCAATTCAGAATCAGTCATTGTCTTAGAAACAAGTATAAATATTCTAGTTCGATGTTTGTCATCACTCATGGCTAATTGAGAAATGGGGTCTGCGGTTTTGTCTCTGTTCGTTTTTGTGTCTGCCAGAAGTGCCTGAGGGATTATTAGCATTAAAATTTGTGAGTTGCATTTGATTCACTTAAACTAAATTTGAATCATTTTTCATGCAATTATAAACATGATTTTTTGTTACCATTAACTCCTGAGAAAATTACTATGCTCTTAACTCTAGAGTCTAGACAAGTTAGTCGTCAGAATTGATCAGTATATTATGAAGAACTCCGACTTAATCAAGAATATGTACCTTGATAGGTTTTGGGTTATCTCCGATGGTTGATCCATGTAGCTTTTCCATAGCTAATGCTGCCTCAGAGGCTTTAGTAAACTTTACATAGGCAATGCCTTTGGGCTCCTTAGTGTCCTTGCGCTTCACAACCCAAACATCTTCAACCTGAAATATAACTACTTAAGTACAATATTTTGACTACACCCAAATATTGAAAATCTCTGGAACACACAATCAAAACAAGACCTGGGTAATTCGAATAATCCTAAAGTTTCTAGTCAGGATTACATAGGGAGACAGTTTTAAACTTGTTATTTTATTTACCTCTCCATACTCCTCGAAGGCACTCCTCAAATCCTCCTCAGTGTGAGAACGAGAGCACACTACAAACACTCTTGAGAATGGAGGCTTGTGATGGTCAACACGGGGACGCTCATCTGCCATATCTCCTTAGCTGTAATGAGTTGCAATAATGTGATTATACATTTTTAGAAAAGATCAAAGCTTAAATCATGGTTTAAATCTATTTAAATCCTCACGAAGAATAATGCAATGAAGTACTTCCAACAAAGTAATCTGTAAGTAACTGGAAAAATGCACAACAACATTTTCTGAAGGATCTTTAATATATATATTTTTTTCAAGTAAGATTCAATTCAATTTTTTAATCTAGAACAAACCCGTTATATTTTACAAAGATATTTAAATAATCATACAGGCTAGGTGTCACCTTATCTATGGAGTGAGCAAGGATTACTTTCTCCTACTTATCTTACTATATATAAAGCGAGACGATATATATCTGTGCCATTTTACTGACACCACGGCATCAACTTTAACGCGACTTTCCGAAAAAAACCGTAAAAGATATACAACTGAAACTTTTTTGGCTGGGTCAAATGCTTTAATGGCCTCCAAATCAGCATGAAAAAATTAAAAATTGGCCAAGGAATAATCATTTCAGAGCCGAAAATTTGGACCCCCAAGTGGTGTCAAAAACGCCAATTAAATAGGTAATAATTATTTTAGTATCTTGAGTCTTGACACCGTTTAGGGTTATATTATACGGGTACCTGCTAGTACATTTAATACTAGTTCCCTCTATAAAAGTTTTTGAACTTCTAACAACAGAATAGAAATGAAAGAGCTAACAAAATGATGACTTTATAAGAAAGATCTCTTGGCATCGATGATAGTAAGAACAAAGGTAGCACAAACAGAATCTGGACGGTTCATTAATCATGTAAAAAGTAACAATAAAAAGCTTAGCTGTACTAAAGGGTATCCTCGCTAGATTCCAGATAATTTAGCAGAGCTTCTCCTCTTTGAACGATAAAGGCATGATCGAAGAACAAATCAATTTCAAATGACGAGGTACCCGACCCTGTCAAAAGATTTGGAATTCTGTAGAGGTATCCTTCAGGACAGATTAATGCACTGTAGAACTAAAGATTGTAGTACTACACTACTTCCGGAAAAGTCAATGCGGCACTCGGGTCCTTGGTATTGTCGTCGGTATATTGTCCATTATTTACGTTCTGCTTTCATAGTTCAAACAATAGTGAGCTCTAAATATACAGCTTTAAACCGATTAAGTATGAATGAATGAAATACCTGACAATCCGCACTCCTATAATTCAAAAGCATGAGTAACTCGTAGTGATGTACGATTTCTAGAAAGTTTAAATTAAATTTGGCGCTCACAGGTCCTCGTGATCATGTGATCGCCGCATAATGTTCTGTAAATGCGCAGGGCACCTTCAAGCTTAAATTATTCACCATACTGACCCAGAAACCCTGACCGGATGGGGCTTAACTTTGAAAGTAAAAGAGTTAGAGACTTCCGGTTTTTTGTAACATGTTCCTCTTTTAAAAGTAACGTTACCTCCCCAGGAGGAAAATTCAAGACAACGTAATTGTTGAGTTATCTCAAAATCTCCAGAAAAGTCCCATTTCGGGCCGCTCAAAAGTTTGTAACTTTAACTTTGCGGATTCCTGTACTCTGGTTGGCTGAATTGTGTCACGTGGTAGCTACTTGAACATTGGAATGCGCCACGCGTGCAAATCATGCTTCGTGTCGCGCGCGAGGTCGAGCCGTCTGTTTAAATTAAACCAACTCTAGTACCACCACCAGGCGGTAACTTTCCCTGGGTACGAAGTAACCAATTAGGGCTAATGAATGCCGAACACAAGGATATTTCGTATTCGGATCATATGCCTGCAGGCTGTCTGTCGTAAGACCTTGGTCGCTCTTAACTGAGCGATAAGTGACGTTAAGTGAGACCGTGAGCACCACTTCTTGCCAAATTTGCTTTTGAATTACAGGCCCCTCCCCCCCCCCCCCCCCCCCCCCCCCCCCCCCCCCCATCATGAAGTAAAACAGTACAAGTTGTGGTTTAACGGCAAAATACAGCAAATTCTAGCCCTTGAAAGTTGTAGGTTTGGAAGATCAATACGGCTGCTTTAATTCTTAAAATTCTTAAGTTAGAACGGCCAAAACACCCTACTCGGCGTCAGTCAACTGCACCCAGAAACCCTGACCGGATGGGGCTTAACTTTGAAAGTAAAAGAGTTAGAGACTTCCGGTTTTTTGTAACATGTTCCTCTTTTAAAAGTAACGTTACCTCCCCAGGAGGAAAATTCAAGACAACGTAATTGTTGAGTTATCTCAAAATCTCCAGAAAAGTCCCATTTCGGGCCGCTCAAAAGTTTGTAACTTTAACTTTGCGGATTCCTGTACTCTGGTTGGCTGAATTGTGTCACGTGGTAGCTACTTGAACATTGGAATGCGCCACGCGTGCAAATCATGCTTCGTGTCGCGCGCGAGGTCGAGCCGTCTGTTTAAATTAAACCAACTCTAGTACCACCACCAGGCGGTAACTTTCCCTGGGTACGAAGTAACCAATTAGGGCTAATGAATGCCGAACACAAGGATATTTCGTATTCGGATCATATGCCTGCAGGCTGTCTGTCGTAAGACCTTGGTCGCTCTTAACTGAGCGATAAGTGACGTTAAGTGAGACCGTGAGCACCACTTCTTGCCAAATTTGCTTTTGAATTACAGGCCCCTCCCCCCCCCCCCCCCCCCCCCCCATCATGAAGTAAAACAGTACAAGTTGTGGTTTAACGGCAAAATACAGCAAATTCTAGCCCTTGAAAGTTGTAGGTTTGGAAGATCAATACGGCTGCTTTAATTCTTAAAATTCTTAAGTTAGAACGGCCAAAACACCCTACTCGGCGTCAGTCAACTGCACCCAGAAACCCTGACCGGATGGGGCTTAACTTTGAAAGTAAAAGAGTTAGAGACTTCCGGTTTTTTGTAACATGTTCCTCTTTTAAAAGTAACGTTACCTCCCCAGGAGGAAAATTCAAGACAACGTAATTGTTGAGTTATCTCAAAATCTCCAGAAAAGTCCCATTTCGGGCCGCTCAAAAGTTTGTAACTTTAACTTTGCGGATTCCTGTACTCTGGTTGGCTGAATTGTGTCACGTGGTAGCTACTTGAACATTGGAATGCGCCACGCGTGCAAATCATGCTTCGTGTCGCGCGCGAGGTCGAGCCGTCTGTTTAAATTAAACCAACTCTAGTACCACCACCAGGCGGTAACTTTCCCTGGGTACGAAGTAACCAATTAGGGCTAATGAATGCCGAACACAAGGATATTTCGTATTCGGATCATATGCCTGCAGGCTGTCTGTCGTAAGACCTTGGTCGCTCTTAACTGAGCGATAAGTGACGTTAAGTGAGACCGTGAGCACCACTTCTTGCCAAATTTGCTTTTGAATTACAGGCCCCTCCCCCCCCCCCCCCCCCCCCCCATCATGAAGTAAAACAGTACAAGTTGTGGTTTAACGGCAAAATACAGCAAATTCTAGCCCTTGAAAGTTGTAGGTTTGGAAGATCAATACGGCTGCTTTAATTCTTAAAATTCTTAAGTTAGAACGGCCAAAACACCCTACTCGGCGTCAGTCAACTGCACCCAGAAACCCTGACCGGATGGGGCTTAACTTTGAAAGTAAAAGAGTTAGAGACTTCCGGTTTTTTGTAACATGTTCCTCTTTTAAAAGTAACGTTACCTCCCCAGGAGGAAAATTCAAGACAACGTAATTGTTGAGTTATCTCAAAATCTCCAGAAAAGTCCCATTTCGGGCCGCTCAAAAGTTTGTAACTTTAACTTTGCGGATTCCTGTACTCTGGTTGGCTGAATTGTGTCACGTGGTAGCTACTTGAACATTGGAATGCGCCACGCGTGCAAATCATGCTTCGTGTCGCGCGCGAGGTCGAGCCGTCTGTTTAAATTAAACCAACTCTAGTACCACCACCAGGCGGTAACTTTCCCTGGGTACGAAGTAACCAATTAGGGCTAATGAATGCCGAACACAAGGATATTTCGTATTCGGATCATATGCCTGCAGGCTGTCTGTCGTAAGACCTTGGTCGCTCTTAACTGAGCGATAAGTGACGTTAAGTGAGACCGTGAGCACCACTTCTTGCCAAATTTGCTTTTGAATTACAGCCCCTCCCCCCCCCCCCCCCCCCCCCCCCCCCCCCCATCATGAAGTAAAACAGTACAAGTTGTGGTTTAACGGCAAAATACAGCGAATTCTAGCCCTTGAAAGTTGTAGGTTTGGAAGATCAATACGGCTGCTTTAATTCTTAAAATTCTTAAGTTAGAACGGCCAAAACACCCTACTCGGCGTCAGTCAACTGCACCCAGAAACCCTGACCGGATGGGGCTTAACTTTGAAAGTAAAAGAGTTAGAGACTTCCGGTTTTTTGTAACATGTTCCTCTTTTAAAAGTAACGTTACCTCCCCAGGAGGAAAATTCAAGACAACGTAATTGTTGAGTTATCTCAAAATCTCCAGAAAAGTCCCATTTCGGGCCGCTCAAAAGTTTGTAACTTTAACTTTGCGGATTCCTGTACTCTGGTTGGCTGAATTGTGTCACGTGGTAGCTACTTGAACATTGGAATGCGCCACGCGTGCAAATCATGCTTCGTGTCGCGCGCGAGGTCGAGCCGTCTGTTTAAATTAAACCAACTCTAGTACCACCACCAGGCGGTAACTTTCCCTGGGTACGAAGTAACCAATTAGGGCTAATGAATGCCGAACACAAGGATATTTCGTATTCGGATCATATGCCTGCAGGCTGTCTGTCGTAAGACCTTGGTCGCTCTTAACTGAGCGATAAGTGACGTTAAGTGAGACCGTGAGCACCACTTCTTGCCAAATTTGCTTTTGAATTACGGCCCCTCCCCCCACCCCCCCCCCCCCCCCCCCCCCCCCATCATGAAGTAAAACAGTACAAGTTGTGGTTTAACGGCAAAATACAGCAAATTCTAGCCCTTGAAAGTTGTAGGTTTGGAAGATCAATACGGCTGCTTTAATTCTTAAAATTCTTAAGTTAGAACGGCCAAAACACCCTACTCGGCGTCAGTCAACTGCACCCAGAAACCCTGACCGG